TCCCAAGATTGATACAATTTTTAGTCCATGTCATGTATAGAAATTTTATTTGCAAGAACTCAATGTTGATGAAATTGAACTGTCTGCATGTGCATTTCTTTGGAATTCATAAGTTATGAATGACAATATAAGTATATAAAGAAGTATGGCCATCTGGTAGTTGGTACCACTTCTTTTTCAAAAGGAAGGCAAAGCTAAACATTCCTAGATAGGACAGAAAAAAGTAATGTTCTTTCCCGGATAAGTTATCACCAAGTCAAAACTATGAAATTGATTTATGTAATAATTGACAGAAATCGCTGCTTATATGAAGCCTTTCAAACCTGAAAATTTTATTGGTTTTCAATAGAAAAACCAAAGGTTGATTCCGATTCCAATGTTCATGTTTTTGGAAAATCATTCATCATTGAGGGTACAAATGAACAGTAAATCCATTTTGTCCATAACGTGACACCAGTCAATCCAATATTGATTAATACGTATTGATGGAACACTACTTGCAGGCAAATAAATGGTTGGCCCCCCAACCTATGAGAAATAGAGCAAGTAGGTCCTCCACCTTCAATTTATAGCAATTGAGTCATCAACCTTTAAACATTGTACAAATGTCCCCAGCATTTGGTTTCTGTCCTTAGAATACTACAAAGTCATTTTTTTGTTAAAAAGGCCACTTTACTTATTTTAAATAAACCAAAAATAATGAAAAAAAAAAAAAACCAAGGTTTAGGGGTGTAGGTCTTCTTAATTCTTTTCTTTTCTTTTCTTTTTCTTTCATTTTAGATTGGCAGATTTTTTTTTTTTTTAACTTCATGTAATTCAAAATTAAGGGTATAATGGTTTCCCAAAGAAAAATTGACTTTAAAAGGATGAAATGGACGGAATCATCTATTGGGGACCCTACAGAAATGAAATAATGAGGATAGCTACAAACTGAAGATTGAGGACCAACCTGCTCTATTTGTTAAGGTTTGGGACTGCATCTGTAATTTTCCCAATATATAATAAGTTCGAGTGCGTTGAAAATATCAGTTATAGAGACAAAATGAAATCTAAACCTCAGAAACTTGAACTGTCACTGCCTCCAAGTCTCCAGCAACCGGTGAATGATAAAAGTATCACACTTCTTAAAAACTCAAGACTAATGTCGCAAGAAATTATATATTTCCGTAAGGGAAAAATGAAACTATGAACATGAAATTGACATTATTAACTCATGGTCGATTTTTTTATGAAAAAAGTGTAGAGAGTAGAAATTTGGAGTAAAACAACTAAGATTATTAAGAAGAAAAGAGCTGAATTATATTGATCAAAACTTGATAATCAT